TAGAGGATTAAATACTATTGAAGAATAACTTACTAGTTAAAATATTATATATATTAAGTACATTACTTGATTTGTTACAAAATGTTATTTAGTGTCAAATCATTATTAAATACATCATTGTATATCTTTTATTGCGAAAACAATTTTTTAGTTAATTATCTTTTTAGTATTTGTGGGTGTTTGTTTTTTTCAATAGAAATAACTAATTAAAATATAATACAATTTACTATTCAATATGTTTTTTTTGAATAAACTGAAGAGTAGTGCCAAAAATGATAAATCAGTTGGCATTTGGCAATTTGTGCTTTGGCTGACAATAAATTTAATTATAATAAAATAGTAAATAATTTAAAAATGAGTAATACACTACTGACAAAAAATTTTTTTAAAAAGTAATTTCAGTCGTGTAAACAATTAAGTGAAATCAGTGTATTTTAAAAGCTTATTATCCCGTTATTTAACCCACAATTATAATATCATCTATTATAAATTGAATCAAAATATACATCAAACTTTTTTCATTTTTCTTATAAAACCCCGATAGTTTGGCAAATAAATCAGTAAACATTATTTGATATTATGAAATGATGAAAATGAGGAATAGAAATAAAAGGAAGATGTATAATTTAGATGAGTGACAATCTAGGAACTTAAAAACAGAAATTATGTTTGTTTTTTTAGTCGTTTCTAAACATTTCTGAGGTGTAGGAATAAGACAAGTGGCACTGTCGAAGTGTATTATGGGAAGAAATGTGAGATGCGTGAAATTAAAATTGTGACTTCGAAGAGCAACACCCTCTATCTAATTGAAGCAAGCTCCAAACCACGTTTCCAAATAGATCTTTCCATTGGTATATTCAACTCCAAAGTTAACAAAGGTACTAAAAATATCACCAAAGAAAAGGAGAAACTGTCCTTTGAAATATTTTACGACAAGGTGTACACTTTTGTGTGTCCGTCGCAAAGTGAGTACGATGATTGGATGAGTACCCTCCCCATACTTATGAAGGTATATGGGACTTATAAGTATCCCCTTGCTTGTGCAGTGAGTAAGTCTGGGTGGAGATTCCCCCTCCCGATATACAGGGCAATTGAGTATTTGATGAACACCAAAGGGTATTTGACGGTCGGGATATTTCGAACAAGTGCTTCATACAAAGACACTGGTCGAGTCAGACAAATCTTTGATGGGGATCAAGACATCCAAACACCCGAGTTCAAATCATCAGAAATAGCAGCGTCCATTATCAAAGAATATTTAAGAGAACTCCCAAACCCACTTATCCCCTTCAATTTTTACAACGATTTTGTTGTTATTGGAAGACTTGGAGGAAAGAACAAAGAAGCTGAAGCTAAGAAATTAGTCGAACGCCTTCCTGAAGTCAATCAAAATACATTGTGGTACTTGTTGTATCTGTGTAACGAGATTGCACAGAACGCTTCTGAAAATCAGATGAATCCAACCAATATTGGTACTTGCTTGGGGCCAACTGTTTGTCGAGCTCCTCCACAAGATGCAATGAAAGAAATGGAAAACACCAAATTAGTCATTGATGCCTTTGCAACATTAGTATCATCATACTCCTTCATATTCTCAAATATCGCACAAAACAATGTCCAGCTTGGAGTCACCCCTCCACCATATCCAGCTGTTATCCCACACCCAGCAGCTCCCTACGAAAAGGTGACTGAAGAAATTCAAAAGGAAGTCCAAGAACGACAGAAGCGACTTGCTGCTGGTAAACCACGGCAATCCGCTATTTTCCACTTCGGTAGAAACCCATTGATGGAGTCGACAGTCGATGGGGCTGATGTCGTTAGAAAGAAACTCGAAAAAGCAAATGCAGTTGGACAAGTTGCTGAACAACAAAACTCTAAACCAACAACTAACCCACCCCGTCCATCTTTCCAAGCCCCAAGACCTCCAAAATCACCAGAACTTGTTGACGGCCATAGAAAATCATGGAACGCTAAACCAAAAGAACCGCCAGCTAGTCTGATGCATCCACAACAACCAGAACAGGAAATTATCCAAATCCCACTTTTGAGGCAACAAGACTTAGATAAACTTACTAATAAAACAGATGGAGAAAGACCAACAGTACCACCACCAAGAAAATCTAAAAAGGATGAAGACAATGAAACTAAAATAGCAGAACAGGAACATAAAATCGAGGAGTTACAACATTTGGTCAAGAAGCTGTATTCAAGACTCGAAGTTCAAGAACAAACTATCCAATCTCTTGTCGATGGTATTAATGAGTATTACAACAACTATGACAACACTCAGGTCCAAACACAATAAGCTTTTTGTTAGTTTTGTTTCCTTTTTTATTATTCCTTTTTAATTTCTAAATTATCTTAAACAATCTATTTCTTACATGATACCCGATTTATCTAAGGTTTTAACAGAAAAAATTAAGGCAAAGGAATTGAGTTAAAAAGTTGGAATTTCGTCTTAAACATTTTGTTGGTCATCGAAGCCAACTCGATGGTCTCTGCTCGATACTTCCCAAACCCTTTCCCACTGTATTTGTTCAATATTTCTTCGGCATTAAAAGTGATTTGTTGTCCATCTTTGAGTTTGTTTGTGTTGTAAATAGTTAAGTGAATGTTCAACTCCTCAGGGAACTTGTACAACTTCCCAAAGACCTTTTTAATCTCTTCGACAATCAAATCCATTGCTTCGGGGTTGTTTGGCTTTGCCTTAACAAACATCACCCGTGCGTTCTTTGACGTCCCGAATATTCCAATACCAGAGAAGTCGAAGATGAGTGGCTGTGATTTGAGAATCTCATAGATTCTGTCTGACATCGAGTCTAATAGTTTTTTGGCAACATTCAGTTGGTCTTCTGTTGCAATGTCCAACGTTTGAAGTGTCAGATGAAGAGCTTCTGGTCGTTGAAGGTATGTTGGGTTCAAATTCTCTGTTTTTACTAAGACTTCCTGGAAGTTCTCGATTTGTTTCAACAAGTCGTGTGACTTAAAGGGGAGGTATATGAAATGTGTTTTTCTGACAATGTCGAATGCTTGGATAGTTATGGCTTCAAGTCTCTTCAAAGCCTCCTTCACCAACTTCTCGTCGGTTCCTTCGACTCTGACCAAGTCATTATCTTCCTCACTCCCAAATGAAATTCTACATTGACATTCTTCTTTAATAGGTTGGACGTTTTGTCCAGACTTTCCAATGATCTGTGGGTGAAGACTTGATGGTATTGAAAGATAAACGTGGCAGTCCGTCGTTCTGTTTGTGAACTGTGCCTTTTCGAAGCATTCTATCGATAAGTTGTTGTACAAGTATAAGAGTACATTCGACTTCTATTTAATAAACGAAACAAACCCACAGCTTGTCCAGCAAGATCTAAAGGAATCGAAATTTGGCAAGCGGGTTCGTCGTCGAATGTGAGAGTGGGTTGTTGTGGTTCGACAGATTGTGATACGTGTTGCTCGACTTTTCTTCTCACACGATATTTTCTTCCTTCAACTTCAAGTATCTCATACTCGTCAAGGCTCATTGCGATTTGATTTTAAAATATTGGTTTGGGTTAAATTAAAAAGTATGAATCTTGAGACATATCACAAACACTATGAGGTAAACAGTTAAATATTGTATTATTACTATTAATTAAAGTTTTAACAAATTATTCAATAACAATTTAAACTGTATCATTTCTATATAATACATTAAATGAGATTTTATCTACATAATAATACTAATATTATTTTAATAAAATAAGTCAAATTATGATATAACAATAAAATGAATGTTAATGTCAGATCAGTGGAATTGAAGTCAAAGTTTGGACTGTAATAAAAAGAAAACTAAATAACAGATGGAAGAAGAAACACCCTCATTTTTGAACAAATACTTTGCAGAGATTAAGTTGGTAGGAAGTGGAGCCTATGGAAAGGTCTACAGTGGTATTAGAAAAGACGATAAGAAGTTTGTATCGACGACAAAAGAATTATTTAACGATGAGGAAGTACGCAATCAAGGTATTAATTGTGTCAGGGACAGTCAATATGGAAGACGTGAAAGGAGAAGTCCGCAACTTGGCGAGTATTAACAATAATAAGAATGTGGTGAGGTATTATGACACTTGGTTGGAAGAGTTGAGTGGGTCCGAGTATGTAAAATTGCTAACCAAGAAAAATGAAGAGATCGACGATGGAAGCACTTTTTGCGACGAAGACGAGATGGGTTCTTTCGGTGATTTTGCATGCGACGACTGTGTCGACCCCGACACGGTCGATTGGGGAGACTCCTCTACCAAAGGAGACGAAGAGACGGAGAGTAATTCCGACTATGAATTTGACAGAACTGGTGACGATGAAGAATCGAGTTGTTGTGACAGTACCACTGACGACTCGAAAAGTTACGACAAAATTTCGAATGGCATCGAGGCTTTTAGCAAACGTTCTGGAGATGAGAATCAATATGGCGATTGTAGTGGAATAAGCAGCACCGATGTGATTAAACCCCAATCGAGTAGTAGCAAAAATGACACAAGCGAAGCTTCAAATTCGGAGATCAATCTCACTACCGTCGAAACTAAAATTGAAGATGGGAATGCTCCAAAGTTTGCTGTTTGTATTCAGATGGAGTTTTGTTCTGGTGGTGATCTAAGCCAAATGATTAAGAATCGTGAACTCCACTTCGGGACACAAGAAGGCAAAGCAAAGGTTTTGAATTATTTCCAACAAATAGCAAACGGCGTTTCAGTCATTCACAAACAACTGATCACACATGGCGACTTGAAACCGGGCAATATTTTGAGAGAACGTGAAACGATGAAAATTGGTGACTTTGGATTGGCTCGAGGAGATTCAGATACTAAAAGTACTATACTTGGAACCATTGGATATGCAGCTCCTGAGATATTAACAGGACATTACGACAACAAAATCGACGTCTACAGTTTGGGAATCATTCTGTTTGAAATGTGTTTGTCACCAGCAACACGGTCCGAATTCATCTTTGCACTCGACAATTTAAAGAACAATAGAAAGGTACCTGGCGTAATAGAGAACCAGTACCAAATGTACAAAGAACTCATTCTCGAGATGACAGAAGAGGACCCAACAAAGCGCCCGACTGTCGATGAAGTCCTCAGGAGACTCGCTGTGCTTGATGAAGATATGAAGAAAATATCACAGCTTCTTCCTTTTGTGCAACAAAACACAAACCTATGGCCACATCTCTCTTCAGCAATAGAAACTAAAATTATGGAACAACAAAAAGAAGACAAATTCAACGAATATACTCAATTGGAACATCCAACAACAGACAACACTGAAAAAGATTTATTATCAATACACCAAGAAATTATGAGAGCTTTCACAGAGATCCACGTTTTACATGGTGCTCAGACGATGTATGTAGACCCATTTATACCTTCTAATTTACTCAAAGAGAGTGGAATAGAGTATCACGAAATACAAAGTCCACTTCTTGTTGACAGAATGGGCGAATTAAAAGCGCTCCTGAACAATTACAGTGAGTTAATTAAAGTGGTTCTGAACAAAATACCAAATCCAACAAGTTATATCATTCGAGTACCCGCAGTCCAACTCCATTTCACAAAAGACCCATCTATTGAACCTGCACTGGTTTATGTGAACACCACTTCCTCGATAGAACAGCATCAGTTCAACATATTGGAGACTATCACCCTTATTGTTTCTTTTATGACCACTTTTCTTGACAAAACAAAGCTCCACATCTCACATACAGCAATAAACGAATTCATTCATAACAACAAAGAAATTGAGGAATTTGTGATGAAAAAACCAGTTCAGAAGTTAAAGGATATTATCAGTTTTGTACAAAGAAGCAAGAACGAGGCATTTTCTTATATTTTACAACTTCTCAATTACCTCAACGAGAATGAAAATATCGTGTACGACTTATCGATATCTGTGAATTGTGCCGATGGTATTTATTTTGTGTTGAAGAACGACAAAGAGGATGTTGCACTTTCTGGGTGTGAGATGACTCTCCACAACACAAACTTGAAGACAGTTGGGTATTGGATCAACGTAGTCAGTGTCTGTGACATTTTAGAAGACAAGAAGGTGTTATTTACAAAGAGGAAAGTTCAAGTGGAAGGTCTCACAAATGGGATGGGAAAGGCGGCGTTCAAAGTGTATTTGGATTACTTTGGGTTCCGTGCCTGTTTTGATCCAAGTGAGGTCGATCATGCCAAGTGTTATGTCAAATTGAAAGTTCACAAAGATCTTCCTTACGATTTCTTCAAAAACAGTTTCTGCGACATACCAGTCACCGCAAACATTTACTTCGACAAAAACATTGTAGGAAAGGTGATCGCAACACTTGGAAAAGCGATCCCTTACATGCAGAAGCAGTATAAAAAGCGATCCGCACCCACTTTTATATTAGACGACAAACTCGTGTCTTCCGAAGTCTTTGAAAAGTTGCAAAACTTGATCAGTACAAAGTGGCTGGGACAAACAGTTGTCCAATCCCCAGCTCTCCAAAACTTTTCTTTCATTCAAAACGAGTTCCTTGATTTTAAGCGGGCGGTCAAGAAGAAGTTTTTTGTCAAGCGGGGGACTAAGAAAACTCCGTCCGACTAATTGTTCTATTTGAATATTCTTTCTATTATTTATATTTTATTATAAACTATAATAAACTGCAATGCATATGGTTTATTATAGTTTACTATTGTATAAGAGTGAAGTATTTGGTACTACTAAAAAACCAATAAAAAACTAATAACAAATCATAAAAATGTAGAACACAAAATGACTTCAAATTGACTGAAGGACTGTCTGGAGTGCGTTAAACTGTGACATGGAATCGTCGAACCTCCCGAAAAGCTCATTAATACCACTCACCAATTTTGTTGCTTCGTCGAGAGATTGGTTGATTTGTTCGTACTCTTTCATATATGATGATAATATATCGAAGTAACACTGTTCGATCTCGGGCACTTCCAACTGAACATTAAGAAGTCTGTCTTCCTCACTACGCTCGTCAAGACTCAAACTTGAGTTAAGGGATTCGACGGATTGGTGGAGTCCTTCTCCAAACTCCTCTTTACTCTTTTTCACGTATTCTGCTGCTTTTGCCTTTTCGTTTTCTTTGTAAGCAACCAACTTTTTAGTGAATTCCGCTTTTTTCTGTTCTTCATACGCCAAGTTGAGTGTTCGGTCTGAGATAGGGAGGAGTGGTAACATAATACTTTCATCTCTTTGAAGTTGTAGTTCGTACATGCCCGAGACGCTTTCGCCAGAGACGACAAGCATAAGACTGTCTTCGTTTAAAGAGAATGAATATGCAAGTGTCAACTTTCCGTTGGGGTATTCTTCTTCGGCGACAGTTGTTTTCCATTTATATAACATCGTTTTGTCTTGGAATCCGCACGCAACCAATAATGTATTTTCAAAGCATCCACAACACAATGATTTCACGGGTTTTGTAAGAGCCTTCCTTGCTATTTCATTCAGTCCCGTCTCGTTGACTTCGCCAAAGATGACTGCGTTTTTCGTTATAATCGCCAAATTATCCTTCGCGTTTTGGTTCCCAAAGACGACGCTCCCAGCCGTGATTTTCACGGGAACCTCTTTGCTGACGACCTTCAATTCTGCTGTGTCTGACACGATGAATACGCCCTCAGTATTTCCGATGTATTCGACTTTACTTGATGCTACACAGACAAATCGTTTTTGAAGGAACCTGAGGGATGTCTTAAGGGATTCCTTTGGTTTTTGATTTGTTGTGCCTTTTGTTTTGTCTTCTTTGATCTTGTTGGATGCGGTGTACTCAGTCTCGCTCTCGAGTAAATTCTCCTTCCTCAAAACATTTGGTGTTGTTTCAAAAGCGAAGAGGAATGAATAGTTGTACAATAACAAGCATCGTAACACGCCGTTAACAATTGAAACGGAAAAGTCCTGAACGTTGTCGACAAGTGTCGAGAGCACATAAATCGTTGTGTTTTCAAGGACGTTATCTTTCAGAAGAAGTCGATTAATAGTGATCGAATTTGAAAAGACCATCACAACGTAGTTCAAATGAAACGGGACGTTCAAGGGGTACATCTGTAGAATCCGACGCGGTAATTGCAAAAAATATTTATTCCCATCAAAATGATATATCAGGGTCCGCTCGGAAAACGTCACATAACCCTGCATCAGCGGAAAAACCCTTGCAGCTCTTGGGACATACAGTGGAATCGGTGTGTTTGGCATATCGTTTTATACAAAAGTGCTTTATTATCAAGATCCAATAACATTTCCGTTAAAATGTTATTCATGAGGGTTTGAAAAAGTGAAAAAATTCACAAAGAAAAAAGTTTTTCACTTTTTGGAGGTGGTCCGATATGAAATATCTTAAGTGGGTCTTTTAATATCTCTTTTCTATAAAATTCTATTCGAACAAGAACTTAAAAAGTCATAAAATGAACGACAAAGACAAAGTGACTTACTACCCCGTTGACCACCAAATAGAAAAGTACCCCGTTTCAAACATTTCTGGTTTCTGTAACAATGGAGACGAATACTATACTGTCGATAAAGATTCTATTCAAGTGTATTCGAAAGACTCACGAGTACAAATCAACCAATTTACAATTCAAGGTGACATCATGGCTATAAAAGCAGTGGACAACCCTCTCAAAAGTTGTTTAATCGTTGTGCAGAAAGACGCGTTTGTTTTAGTCAATTTACCAAATGGCGAGATGGAGACATACATATGCGAAGGTATTGACCAGGTTTTTACTGACATTTTCATCCCACAAAACCAAGAGTTTTTCTACTTCGTCGTCTCCACAAAACCATTTTCTTTGAAATTGATGAGAATTTCAATTTTCCCAAAGAGCTCCACATTTATTGAAAATAAATTGAACGTTTTTGAGATGGAATCGCACAACGATTTGGTCTCTTCAACTGATATCTCATACCCAACATTTACTAACAAACCCGCTTTTGTCGATGCACATTCAAGACCATATATCGAGGTCTCTGATTCAGGAAGAAAGCCATACCCCAACGTGTTTTATTTGGATGACTTTGTACCCACGGTGGTCGTATTGAAGTTTGCGAAAGACCAACTGTTTGTCACCGTCGGAGGGAATGATTCGGTCTTTTTTGGGTACCAAGTCTACAACCCAATTCTCATGTTCTCCATGAAAATCCCAAGTGAGAGACATGGCGCAGTCCAGAAAATATTCTTTGACTTCGAGTCGCAAGTAAAATTTGTCAATGTTGTTGTCTACGGTAATGACACAACTGAAATATTCTTCTTTTCAATGAACGACAGCTATGAAATAGGATATGTTAACTTGCAGATTTTCGATAAATTCAGACTGTTGGCTGCAAATTCACATGTCACAATTAAGGAAACACTCACGTCTTTACTTCTTTTCGATAAAACAAATGCCGAAGTGAGACAGTACGTTTTTGATTCACATGGAGAGATCATAAGCGACAGCAACACACTCATAAAAATGACTTTACCAATCAACTGCATTGACCAGAAGGAAGGTACAAAAGAGAGTGAGATGTACTTGCGCTACATTGGAGATGTTGGAGGTGTTATAACGCCCAACTATGTGAACATAGTGAGTGCTGGTGAGTGGATCAATGTTATGGCAACGTCTTATCAGTTTGAAAGATTTGTTCAATGTGTCAAGCTGCTTCCCGTGTTGATACTTGGAAAGGCCAATGATCAAATTGTGTTGTTTTACAAGGAAGCGTGCCAGTTTGGTTTTAACTTGCCACGAATGAATGATCAACAACTTTTTGTCTCGACAGCTCTTGAGATGCTGATTGATACAAATAACATCGACCTCTTTGTTAATGAATTTGAAAACACAACCGATGTTGAAAGCATCATTTCGGAAACCATCTATGATTACTTTACTAATTATCACAAAACTCTGACTGAATTTTTCGAGAGTGACATAATGAAGAATAAATTGGTCAACCAAACCATGTTGGAGGAAATTGAAGAAAAGTTGGCTGTTGTGAAAACAGTGATGATGAGACTTAATGCGGAAAGCGACGTACTTGAGATGCTTGATAACAATTTGTACTGCGTCAGATATTTCACGCCATTAACCGAGTACTTGCCAGCCCTTTTGGAGAAAGAAGTCATCCAATGTGATGGCTCTCTTATTACTCCGATGATCGACTTGGTGATGCCTGGGCACTCATACCCAGTAAGCATTGAATTGGTTATGGTACATTTGTTCTCACATAAGATCTACCCACCACTTGAATTATACTTGCACTATTTGTTCATAGTACACGGACTTGAGAATTATAGAAACAAAATTCCGGGGTTTAGTGATCTTCCAGAGATCGCTGAAATAGCGTATTTGCTTGTAGCGTTTGATTCTGGGAACTACAACTTCTTCTTTGAAAAGACTGGGAAGAACACAAATATTCGAATGGCACTTGTTACGGACATTATCCCAGTGATGTACAAATATTACACCACACACCTGTTCAACGCACCATCGAAGTACACCGATTATTTCATTAATTTTGCAGACGACACGGAAACTTTGAAGCTTGACTTGAAGTACTTGGTTGTGCGTAACAAATGCAAACAAGCGATTGGAACTGCTGCGGAGTTTTTGAGCCGATTCAACGCGACACAACAAGAAATACGAGAAAATATGCAATACGCTTTTGACGTTGCTGTCGAAGAAGCGAAGATCGCGGAAATGATGCAAGTGGTCTATAACACAACACTTGAGCACCAATTCATGACAACGTGTTTGAAAAGCCGCAAAGAGGTCATTCTCGAATTGTTGATGTTCTTTATCAATATCAATGATATTTTCTCAGCGACTTTGTTATTTGTCCACATCAACACGACACTTTTCAAAGAACAAGAAGACCTCAAAACGCTTCACGAGATATTCCAAGAATTTGTTGACCGTTTACAATTCAATGATACGCAAAGAATCAAGGTACTTGCACTAGATAAACAACAACTCGACGTGTTCATCAACTCCGAGAAAGATGTCGATTTAGGGGAGATCATTTCCTCTAAATATTGATTGAATTGCTTTTTCTTGTTTGGTTGCATCGAAGGACGAATTAGTAATTTTTAGTCCAAATAACTACCAATTTCTTTGGAAACTATACACGTAGTAAAATAGTAATAAAACAACTATAACATATAGTATAACGAATTGTTTGTAAAAAGGGAAGAATACCTCAAAACACCCCAAGAAAAGATAAAACTGCGATTTTTACTATTTGAATAGAACCATGACGACAATCCACTTGATAGACTCGGAAACAATCAAAAAATTGAGTGCAGGCCAAGTGGTTGTCGACTTGGAGTGTGTTGTTAAAGAACTCTTTGAGAACGCAATGGACTCCGGCGCGACAAGCATCTTTGTTCGCCTTCTGAATTGTGGGCTCGATGAAATTACAGTTGAAGACAATGGCTGCGGAATACCTCCAAACAGCATTCCACTACTTGGACAAAGACATTGCACATCAAAACTCCAAAACTTCGAGGAATTATCGAACGTGGGCACTTTTGGGTTTCGTGGAGAGGCGTTGTACAGTATTGCAGCTATGGCAGAGGTTGAGGTTTTGACATGTGATGGGACAGCAGATGGGACACAAATCAATTTAGTCACGCGACAAACGAAAACAGTCCAGCGTAAGAGGGGAACGACTGTTGTAGTGAAGAAGTTGTTTGCTGAAAATCGTATTCGACGAGAGGAATTCATGAGATCGAAAAACAAAGATATGGCAAAGGTTGTTACCCTTCTTCAGAGTTATGCGCTGCTTCTCACAAACATCAAAATAGTCCTCACAAACAAAACAAGCAACAAGAGCGCTGTTTTATTGCAATCCAATGGGAAATCGATGAAGGAGAATTTGTATACAATGTTTTCCGGCGACGCAAAGGATGTTTCAATACCCCTGGATTACCACGAGGATGGTGTTGGGATAGTCGGAATGGCGTCGACATTTACTGATAAAGGGCGCACAACAGGCGATCGGATGTTTTTCTTTGTGAACCGCAGACTAATTGAACACAAGAAGATGCAACAAATCGTCACAAATCAGTGGAGGTCGCTTGGTGCCAATTTTAAGCGGAAGTTTCCAACAGTAATAATGAGTATTGTTGTCGACGAGTATGACCCCAACGTCACACCAAACAAGAAGTCTGTTATATTTTGCAATGAAGAAGTTGTGTTAAGTGCGGTGAAGAAGTGCTTTGAGAAAGTGTGGTCGATAGAGAAGATGGAGTTGGCGATGCCTACTGTCTCACTTTCTGGAATAGTCGATCATTCGGAATTGTCAGACTCTCCAAGTGGGTTTGTTGTGAAGAAAGAATACAACTTGAGTGCCCTTCCTCCTTCAACACAAAATTTGATACAAAAACGTCTTTCACTTGCACCTGCGAAACCCAAACCAATGTACGCCGATGATAACCAAATAGACAACGACGACGTCTTAAAAAGAGTTGAGGAAGAGCCTTCACTCATTACAACACCACTTAAAAGAAATGTGAAAATCCACACGTATACGGACAACCAATTTTCAAGCGAAGAGGACATTTTAGACGATGAAGACAAAGAGAAGGAAAATGTTGTGATCAAAACAAAACTTTTTAAGACGGATGAGAGGAGTCAAACCCTCACACAGATGAATAGACGGAATCAAGTCCTGAAGAATGAAATGGAGAACGAAATATCAGCGATTAAAAACGACGATGATTCGATTGAGAATTCGATTATGAAGATTAGAAAGTTCGGTTCAAGGAGTCAAAGTTCAGAAGTGAGTGAAGCTGAAAACTCTCCGAAGAGGTGTGAAGTACAAAGGAGGTTATTTGACAATGAAATTTCAAAGGAAGAGATGTGGAAAGAGAAAGATGAGTTATTACGACTCGGCGAGGATAGCCATCTCATTCAAACGCGAACTACATTGAAGAATAAAAACAGTGCAAATTTGACAGTAGTTGTTCCGCAGAAAATGGAAATTGAAGAACACAAAGCAGAAGATGACGATCAAATGAAAGAGCAAAACAGCGAAGAGAAACGTTCTGAAGAAAATGAACTTCAAAAGAGTGTGACAATGCCGAAAAGGAACGAAACAAAAGAAGAAAGATCCTCTCAAAGAGCATTAGAAGAAGTGGACAAGGGAAGTGAGGATTCTGGTGTTGTTGTGAAAACGTCGAAAGAAGTGATTGTTTGCAACAAGATGTTTTATGACCAAGCAGTGGTAACGGCTGTTGTTGAACACCTTCTTGAAACGCGAAAAGACTTTCCAATCAGCCGACCCGAAGTTGTTGACGATGTTGTTTTGAATAAACAGAGAACGTTGCAAAAAATGGATCTGGCGCAAATTGAGGTGATTGGGCAGTTCAACAAAGGGTTTATCATCGGGAAGAAAGGCGAGGACTTGTACATCATCGACCAACACGCAGCAGATGAGATCTTCAATTTTGAGACCCTTCTCAAAAACGACAAACTGGAAGTCCAGTCACTCATTGCGCCAATCAAAGTGCAACTGAGCAGTGATGATGAGTTGTATGTTGAGGAAAACATTGGGATATTCCCACATTTTGGGTTTGAGGTGTTGTATAAAGAAGAGAATCCAGCGACTGAGCGTGTGTTGCTTTCGAAAGTGTATTCAAGGAAGTTTGTTTAATGTCTTAAAAAGAGTAACACGATTGACGAATAGAAAAGTGTGTTTTGGAGCGAAAGAGTTTCTTGAGTTGATCACACAGTTGAGGCAATGCCAAGACGAATCCGGCATGGTGAAAAGAAAACACAAAATCTTTGCGACAGAAGCGTGTCGGATGAGTATTATGGTCAGTGACACCCTCACAAGAGACCAGATGAGAAGGATATTATTGAATCTCACGACATTGAACAAGCCTTGGCATTGTCCACATGGCAGGCAAACGGTTCGACATTTGTTTGACATCAGAAAGGCTGGAAATGAGTTAGCGAAGATCTTTTGAATTTTTATTTATTTATATTAAATGTGTTTAGTTTCGTATCAAATACACTCACCAATTGTGTTCAAGTCTAAGTGTGAAATGTTTTGATTTTTTTGATTAAATTAAAAACATAACAAGTTTAAAAATGGTTTGTTATTTCTATTTCTATTTATTTAAAAGATAAAATAGATTTAACATTTGATATTATGTCGTGTTATATAAAATTTACAAAAAAATCTTAAAAGTAATAAAATTATTTTATTCTAATACACTGTTTAGCAAAGTTTAGTAATAATCATGTTTAGCAACAAGAATAACTTTTCATTGGCCGTTATTTATGTTTATTGTTCCTAATTCCAAATTTTGTTTATTATAACAATTCTTATTCAATCATTATTTTATAAAAAAAACAAACGGAATTCAACTAACCAAGTTATATAAAATGTTTTAAATTGAAAGCAATGTTTTTTCTTTTTTGGTTGAAATATTTTATTAAATTGTTTTAAAAGTGTTTATAAAACACAATCACACATATAAATTTTAACCACAATAAGTATGGTCATGGTTAGACAAAAAAACCATTAAATCAATTTTAATTATATTTATTATTAATGATAATGGTTTTCATAAAACTTTTGTCTAACCATCGTATGGTTAAAAGAAAAAAAAATTTTACACCATAAAAATAAAAAAGACATGAAAGATCAATGACCATACTTATGGGTTTGCTTTTATCAATTCGTTTTAAAGTGCAATCCGGTCTTGTTAGCAGTATAAATTGGCAAAATAGTGATGCAATTGAATTAAATATTTGTAAACCATGAAAGAAAAATTCAATTATTCGGAGTGAATTTTTAATTCATTTTTATTTTAGATAAAAGAATCACATAAGCGATAAATTTCCATCAATTAAAACATTACAAACCCAGGTTTCAATAAAAAAATAAAATCATGGTTTACTGGGTGGTTTTAACATAGTAATTCCAGTAATAAAGTGTTGTTAACACGATGTGTTGTAAAAAGCTGAAATGAAAATGAGAGGACTATAACAATATTTACATGAAGTTCGTCATATTTTTAATCAATACCTCGTTTTCAAGGGAGACGATAGAAGAGATATATCGGCTGGCTTTAGTGCCTAGCTCCTTAATTTCAGTTGTCTCGTAAAGGACTTTCCCTGTTTCTGCCGAAATGATTTTTGCATCGCCGACAATACCATCACTTTCGTCTTTCGCATTGATGACAATATACCCAAACTCTGCAACAAAGTCCTCTAAAAGGTGGAACGCCTCCATCCGTTTTGCAGGTTGCATTCTTCGTTTTACTGTTTCTATTTTGACGCCTTCATCGCACATGATAGCGGTGAGAGCGTCACACCGCTTCTTGATGAACTTAACCACATCAAGAACTTCATCATTGATTTTGATCGATTTGATTTTGTGGAATTGGGTTGTGAGCTTTGCTTTTTTTGAGGTTTTTCCGATGTAGATGTCAGCGTGTTTTGAGAGAAGCATGATAAGGACATTTTGAAGGTCTGCTTGGAAGGAGACTGCTTTTCGTGTTTTCTTGTGGACAACCTTTCTGTGTTGGATAGGTGGGTATGGCATTACACTCTTCTCTGACATCGAGTTGTTTTTTCAGAGCTGAACTCTTATGAATGTTTCGAACTTTTTTTGCTCGCCTCATCAACTAACTTAAACACTCTCGTTCATAAAAACGTGTTACCCCAATTTCTCTTGTTTTTTCTAAGTGGGTTCTTATTCTTTTTATCATATTCTATTTATTAATGGTTTTGGATACTAGTTTCTGAAATTATTTCTTCACATAAGATACTCCTTTTCGCTTTTTGTTGTTCTCTTTCAAAAACGCATGTGTCGTCCGTTATTTTTCATAAATAAGTTAGAGAACGCGTTTTCCCGAATTATCACCATTTGTTGTTAGTAAATGAAAAAACATAATTAATTGAATAGTATTATCAAGAAACGGGATATAGATGACAGATTCCGCCATATAGTTTTATACAAAATTATTTAAAACAGTTTATTATTGCTTATTTTTATTCTTCGTTTAAAATATTATTTCAAATCATGTATTTTTTTATTAAAGTAAATAATAATTAATTAATATACCCAATAGATCATCCCCAATTAATTATGGATATGATCTATTTAAAAAGAAGTATAATAGTACAAATATTATATTTTATATTATATGTTGATAACATAAATACAAAAGTAATTTAAGACTGGCTTTATTCAACAATTTTGTTTTCGTTACAAATAAAAAACTGACACAATGCATTATGTTATTTAGTAATTGAGTTTTAGAAAACATTTATAAATATGTTACCTGATTTGAAACAAAATATTCTTAAATAGACAATTAAATGTTTTATGTCAAGACAAAGGCAAAACATTGGTCATAAGTTTTACCTGCCTTATAAAATGTAGGAAAAATCCAAAAAATAATATGTGGCTATATTAATAAACAAAAGTGTAGTATCAAATAAAGTTACATAATTTACAGAACGGCTATATTAGAAAAACCAGAAAAAACAAAAAGAATTCAAAATAATACCAAATATAATCATGTAATATAGATTCAAGGGATATTTATTGGGATAATTTTTGGATAAAAACCCTAAACATTTTTTTATATTAAAAATCGAAATAGAAAAGGAAATTTTGGATTTTTCTTGAAATAATTGGAGTTAAATGTACACTTTGTGTTCCCTGAAATAGAGTTGACGGTTAAAGAACTCATCAAATAAATATAGTCCAGATAATACATGATAAAATGGACATTATTGCCATTATTATACAGTCTAAAAGTCATACAATTTCCATTTCAAAATTGATTTGAATTTTTAAATTTTTATTGTCAAGATATTCGAAGAACAACTACGATAATTACCCTTTTCGAACCAACTAACTTATTTTTGTGAAAATTTGTAAAAAATAATATAGCTAATCGATATACATTATAACAATTAGAGTACTTGCTACAACGTTGTACACTACTCAAACGTTGTTCACTTAGTCTTGTATTTTTAGATTTAAAGAAGTTTCTAACAATAATTAAATTATTAGCAAAATATGAATATGTTAACCATCAAAACTTTATATTTAATAATTAATATTTTTCAACCTTTAAACAATTGATAAATAAACGATAATGTTGGAAAGGGTTAACTTAAAGAAAAAGAATGGTTGACACAAAAATCCCACATTTTGATAATTTTTTGGACTCCTTTTTTGTAGATTTCCGATTTTTACCAAACATGCTTTTATTATATAATCTAACAAAACAATTAACAATGAGTGAAACGAATTACCGAATTCATCCCTTTTCGACTCGAGTGGAGCTTAATTTTAATTCCGAAGACTTTTCCGAGCTTCTCAAACCAATTTCTAATGCAAATCCCAACTTTTTAAAACTCGACGTCATGTTTAATCGCATTGACGACTTTAGTAACGCATTGAATTCAAACACCAATAAGATTATATTTGATTACACAAACATCTTTAACTACGCTTCAACAAAAATAGACTCTGCGATGTTTGAATTCCAACAAAATCTTGAATGGATTCATTTAATAAACGGTAAGATTCTTGAAATTGCAGACTCCCTTTATAAAATGAAGTCCATTAACAGGCACATTATTGTTTGTTTAAATTATCTAAAACAATTTGAAACCCCGAGGAATGGATTTGAGCAACTAAAACAGTGTCTGAGAACAGATGGAATTCCACTACCATCTTCGAGAGATATCAATTTAAGAGTTATTCCAGTAGAATTATCTAATGAACAAACCGAATCAAGTATCCCAATAATAGCAATTGATAACGACGACGTTGCTGCTATTTTAAGAGAAGCACAAAATAACAATGAAAGTCACTCCGAAGCTCATACTAACTACAAAGATTCTCTCACGGAGTCAAGTGTTGAAATGGAAGAACTTCAAATTGGTAGTAACAAAGACTCGCAAATCGAAAAGGTTATTGACGAAGATGATATCGACTTTGTTAGTCTTTATGATTACCTTATCACTTACAATCGAGACATTGAATACGATGATATTTCAGAGAGTATTTCTCGGTTTTTCAGGCTACAGAGGAATGTCTCTGCTCCTAATAGAAGAGTTCAGATGTTCAGACTTGCTGAATATCTCAACAACAAAGCTGAACATATCAACTCAAAACTATTGGCAAGTATAACACCGGATATAACTGACAAAGTGTGGCGACGACAACTTTCTCTTGCTAGACAACCTCGAGGGACATCTGGAAGACGTGCAATTTTCAACACTGAAGAAATCGAATCTCTTGTAACTTTCGTGAAGAAACGAGAAGGAGACCAGGATCCTGCGGGTTATTTTGATTTGTTGTGGTTCGTTAGTAATACGCTTGGACGTGATGATGTGACTGTGAAAGCATTTTATAACTTTGTCAACAAGGAAAGGAGAATCATGACCACCAAAGCAAAGCCAATGGAAGAAGAACGCATCGAAGTGAGCAGAGAATCCATCGACACTTATTTTGATTACTTGGAATCAAATATAACTGGTCTACCCACTGGATTTATATTTAATTGTGACGAATCTGGTTACCAACAATGGGTCGACAAAACGTCAAAGACTGTCATTGTTTCTTCAACATCAAGTGGGGAAAACATGCACTTCCCACTCAATAGAAACGGAGAAAGAACCACAATGATGGGATGTGTTTGTATGGATGGAACTACCACTGTTCCTTTTTTCATCGTACCCAATGTATCAATTGAAAAAAGTTGATGGAGATGGGAATCACCAAGAGTACAGCTTGTATTAAATATTCCAAGAAAGCTTTTATAAACAACATGTTGTTCAAAGAATGGCTTAAATGCATTTTTCTCCCAACTATATCAACAAAAAGAAAAATGCAAAAATACACAGGACCTGCTGGTCTTATTATAGACGGGTTCGATTCTCATATTGACACTGAAGCGGTTTCATTACTCACAAGTCATAATGTGAAGATATTTCTTCTGCCATCCCACTCGAGTCACCTTTTACAAATGCTTGATGTTGGGGTGTATGGAAATCAAAAGAGGGTCATTAATACCGAAAAAGTTTTCATGAAGACTGAGTACAATAACATGTCTTACAACTCAGTCCAAATAATATCAAATGTTAACTCTTGGCAAAAGGTAACAACCACTAAAAATGTTATTTCATCTTTTATAGCTTGTGGGTTGGTGCCTCGCCTTTTGAACAACTTGAAGACAGTTTGTGAGGTGGTGAGACAGAGTTGCAGCAAGATAGACTTTTATCTAAATACAGAAGAACTAACCTCCCTCAAAGAGCAGCTGGCTTTTACAATTTCCAATATGGAGCTTGCCACTAAAAAGGCACTTAAAGAACTTCGTCTAAAATATCGTGGAGTTCAATACTCAGTTCTCGAAACCAGGTTTGGACTGATTCTTTTCAAAGCCAAGAGAGTGAAACTTACCAATTATAATGAATGAAAGTTGATTCATTGTTTTGATAAATATTAACTTTTTAAATACATTTAAAAAATATAACGGAAACTAAAAATTTAAAAACACGAAAAACTTAAAGTAAAATCAATAAGAGTTTTTTTTACCGATAAAAATTAGGCACTTAATTGATAAAAAAACATTATCTAAAAAACTATAATATAATCAAAAAAGAACTATTAAAATTGAAAACAATTATAATTTGCAATTAGGAAAACCGAGTGAATAACAAGGCCAAAATAATGGAGTTTATCTACTATTTCTGACATTATAAAATTTAAACCCTATCCTTGAACTGTGAAACATTAAAAGGTTTGTTGTTTATCTTGACAGAAAAGAATTAAAAGAAAGAGTGGTCGCTATATTTTACAACGACACGGCGGAACACTTTATACAATAACACGAATTACGAAAACTTTATGAACACACCCGCTAAAAATACATCAAATCAAAATCACTCAGCCTTCGTATATTGAAGATTGCATTCCCGAGAGCGTCATTTTGGTGTGGTTTGCAGCTTGTTTATTAATTACAATTGAAATTGTAAAAGATCTCGAAATTGATCGATTTCATTATTTTTATGTTTATTTAGATTTAAAAAAATTGAAATTTGTTTTTTATAAAAAGAAAAACATATTATTGAAAGTAAATGTTATTGTTAAATTTTCAATAATTTTTATTTCATAATAGAATGTTCCGTATATAGTTTCAATTTAATTGGAATATTCTAAGGTGTACAACGTTTCAGTAGTGTACAACGTTGTAGCAAGTACTCTAAATGTATATTTATAATAATCTGAGGATAGTTTTTGAAAAACACAATAAATAACATTTTATGTTTCTTCAATTATCGAAAAGTAACATCAAACTTGAACTATTTAATTACAAAATCATTGTGAAATATTAAAATTTGCGCGACAAGTTCTTTTTTTGAATTTATACTTATAGAATTAATATTCATGTAATATTCAATTTGTGGACTTCTAGGTATGAAAAATAATAAAACAAATAAAAATGTATTAATTCATACATTTTTATTACAAAAGAATAAAGTTTGATTTTCAAAAATTTTATATTTGTTCAAAATTGATAAGAGCAAATTGTTTTTAACAAATTACTTCAATTTGTTCTAGTTGGCAAAACATCAATCTTTATTATCTTTAACTTATTGAAAAATAAAACAAAGAGAATAACCATGTTTTAAGATAACAATGTGATAACTTTTTGTTTTTCCTTTTACTGTTATGTTTTTTTTAAATATTTATTACACAATTTTAATAATTTCGTAAAGTGTATTTTGTAATAACACAATTATGGATTTTGATTCTGATTATTGACACCTAAAATACCATTGAAATAAATTTAAATATTCTAAAAAATGGGTATTTTCTTCTTTTTTAATATTTTTTTTCTCAAAAAGTTTATTATGTTTATGACATAACACCAATATAAAAAATAAAAAAATATCAAAAAATGTCCATATATTTCAGTATTAACATATGAATTTTAAAACTCGGGTGTTATTCTGTGTGTAAAAAACACTTAACTGTACAAAAATTAATTAAAATAATTGATATTAAAAAAAATCAAACAATTAATTGGTCAAAGTTTGTCTTCATTTGTTTCAGAAAACTTGCTCGATATAACCTTACTACTGAGCAACACAGACGACACTCTCCTTTTCTGCCACTAATGATTAGATTTCTAATTTACAGTTATTAGGTGGCATCTTCAAATTGTTTCTTGTTTATCCATCTGCTCCAAGAAGACTCAAATACCTGTTTCAATCCCAATAACAGTGTATTCGCTTCATGTAGCAATTGGGATTTATACATCGACATATGCTGGATATCCATAAACAACGCTTAGCTTAAAACTTGAATCCTTCAATTGCTTCCAAATAATGTTTATATGAATTGTTTTTCAATTTTTATAGTAATGATTACTCAAAAATACTTGATATTATTTTGTAAATTCTTTTGGTTAATTTATGTTTTTTTTGTCAGAATTGCAGCTTCAAAAAATAACAGCAGAGAGTGAGCATGCCAAATTTATTTCGTCAAGATATAATATTTAAATAGTAATGAATATTTGGTTATTTATTGATGTTATCATTGGTAATGACAAGCAACTAATTCGTGGAAATACAAAAAGATGTATACAAATTCACACCAAAGGAGATTTAATTATATGCTAACAAACATGAAGGAGATTGTTTAATTTTTTAATTGGAAGGTTGATATATGTAATGTAAAATATATTCAATTATAATATATAATTATAAGCTTCTCCTTTTATAATAAGTTATATAGTCGGGGGATAAATAGCATTAAAAAGGGACAAAGGTAGTTAATTTTGATAAATATAATTTTGAAACTATAATTTTTAAAAAATCTATTTAAAGGTCAAAATAAACATAAAATTAAAATATTAATTTAAATTATAGTTTTTTAATTTTAAATGATTATAAATTGAATAATTATAAATTTCTATTTCAAAAATAAACAAAAACACCTCAATTTGTTCGCTTAGAGAAATGTGGAAGTCTAAAACGCAGCACTTTTTGTGGTTTGTCTGAAACTTGTTTTGTTAAAGGATTTTCCTTTGTTTTTTCCTTTGTTTCGTTTCTTTTCTGCTCTTCTTCAACTCCAATTGTTTTGGTGTTAAAATGGTCTTTCTCTTTTCCTTTCTCAATGGGAATGGTTCAACAACGAAAGATTAAAAGATTTCAACAAATGATGGATTTTCAGTGATTCTGTGACACTTTAAAAGATTGACATTGTAGTTAATTCATTAAACTCTGGCATTTTAACCATATACATCATGAATATATATTGAAATACAGTTTTTAAACTGGTTTCTTGTATTTAAATTGCTTTTTTTGTGTTGATTGCCTGTGGTTGTTTCATCGAGGGTTCTTTACTCTTCTTCTTCCATTGTTTTCAAAGATTGAATAATATCAAAAATAAAAAGTTATGGTTTTCTTTTATTATCTTCAAAGTAGTTAATTGAAAAAACCCTTCTAATACTTTTATGGTTAAAGAAATTATATTTTATAGTTTTTTACTTAAATTAACTACTTCTGTCCCAAATTAACCCCCTTTATCACCCGACTATAATATTATAAATATTATTATAATATTATTTATAATATAAAAATTTTAATAAATTTTTATAAAATTGTTGGCGGGTAAAATTATTGTAAAATTAAAAAAAAATTATTAAAAAAAATATTTTTAAATTTTATAATTTATAAAAAAACTTAATAATTCAATATACAAAATTTTTTACTGAAAAATTAAGATTTGAGAAATTAATAGTACAAATAACTATTTTATACTTTAACTATTAAAACTTAAAAAAACAAATGGAAAAAATTAACAACATAATTACAACTACTCCAACAGAAAAGTTACTCACCACTCTTAGACCACACAACCGGTTAGATGTGTTGGTGTGTCTCTATACACAAAAGAAATTTTCTTTTTTTTTCTCGCTATTACTTGAAAGCGAAGTAACAACGGTTGTCGAGCATCTTTTGATAAGTGTGTGCTCTTTACAAATTGAAACAGAACAAATAATCAGACTTTTTACTGTATTACTTGGACGTAATGTTGAGATTCAAGTCATCTTGAAAAGTGTACAAATTGGTGCGTATAAGAACGCGGAACCAAGAAAACAACACACAGAACTTCTAAAACTATTTCACATTGCTCACCGACAAGCAACAGACGCTTCTCTTCTTTTCCACGAAAATTTCACAGAACTTCAAAAAGTGATCACTGCAGCACCAAAGAAGAACTGGATTCAGACACAAGCGTACCCCACAGTGACTGTGAATGGAACTTGTGTTATTTGCAAGGCACCACTCTTCGACGGGCAGAGTGTCACCGTCTTACCGTGTGGCCACGGAATCCACGCAGCTTGTGCAGACTACATGAACGATTCTTCTCCGGTCTGCAGAAAGTGCCTTTCAGAACAAGCTTATCCACTTATTGCATAGTTTTGTTAATCACAAGCAACATTTAATTAATGACGTGTTGATACGACTCATATAAATATATAAAGGACAATCGATACAAACAACAACGAGGCTTTTGATGCTTTGCATTGATACATCACACCGTTGAAGCATGTGTTGCATTCCTGTGTTTTTGTCCGCTTGATCTCGTTTTTACACTTTTCGTCTTTGTACTTAACTAAATACAACACCGAGTCGCCAAACGCATTTTTACTCAGTTGGTATCGACAAAACAGAGATGGGTCATCGCACACGAAAACGTTGTCAGTGTAATACATCCTTCCAATGGTATTTCTGTTTGGGCAATTGGCAATATCCTTAGACGAGTTAAAGGCGATGTGTGTTGGCGGCGAGTCTGTGAACGAGAAGTTAGTTCCTTCTCCATATCTCACGATGTATCCACTAAACGCACCGGAGCATCACTCC